TTGAGCTTGCCATGTTGCTTCTATTCAAAGTATAATGGGGAGCCTTCAGAAAAATATAACCTTATTTACACTCTACAAAGCCAATTGGATTTTGGTTAACTTAATTTCTAAGTGATTACAGTTCACTAACAATGTAGGTGTGCTATAGATGCAATGCACAGGGGGTGACTTTTTATTTTAAACCATATGAGCTTTCTTTTATTCATGTCATTCAGGCAGCCTCATGGTAATTCACATTTCCAGCTTTCATGATGTGTTGTTCAACCACTGTTTTTTCTCCCTCCCTATTGTATTCTCACAAATCATACTCACTAATTTCTGAAAGCTTTTCATTTCTCTCTATAGGTTGTTGTTTCGTAACATTTTATACAAGAAAAGCTGCTCTTGAGGCACAGAATGCACTGCACAATATTAAAACTTTACCTGGGGTGAGTACATTTACTTTTTGATCCTAATTATTTAATCGCCAGGAAAATAGCCCTTTTTTTCAAGATGCTGCTTGGTGCACCAAATGACCTTGGTCTCTTCAAGGGAGGGTGGCTAACATGATGGTCTGTCCTGTAACAGTGCCAGTCCCGTAGCAATGGCATCATCTCAAAAGGCAATTGCTCTTCTGTAGAAAGTCCCTTGGCTGGAAACAGTGCTAGGCACTTGCTGAAGTGCAAGGTAGATTCAATGTTTTTTTTCTTTTCTATTTAAGGAGGAGGGAGGGGGGAAAAAAAACATATGGCAGAAAAACACTGCACCACTGGGGCTTCTAGTTTGAAAAGAGAGGGAAGAGGAAAAGACAAAATACAGTCAACTTTGTTAAATGCAGCCTTTATCCACATGGTTTCTAAACAGCCTGGCTGCGTTGGTGTGGTGGATGCACACCAGGGTAACGTAAAGGGTGGTCCATGTAGCTGCTTGCACAGGGTCACCTTGTCCTCTGCCACCATCTCTCCTCAGCTGCCTGTTCTCACAGATACCTCACATCGGTGGCTGAAACAGTTGTGGTTGTGTTGTACTAACTGTAGCTTGCATTGTCCTGCTGTAGTTCAGATTTCATGTACAGGCCTAGAGAGGTCATCTGACACATCTGAAATCTTCTTGTTCTAATGTTTTCATTTCTTCTACTGCAAGTGGGGATGGGAAAAGAAAAATATAGAAGATGGGGGTATAGTCCCTCTTGGTGTAGGGGAAGCGTTCGAGTATATGGTTGGAGTGTGTGGTTACAGACACAAAAACAAGTGCATGTATAGAACACTGTATAAATAAATACAACATTGACTGGACTGACAGTTATATGGCTAATAGCTCCTTCAGTTCCTGCGTGTTGTATGTGAAATTGGACACGATGTGTTTGAAAAATTGACATCTGGCCAGCCTGTTTTGTGCAACTCCTGTTAGGAAAGCCACCTCATCTGTCATGGAAATGGCCAAAGTGGAGAAGTGTGTCAGCCGTTACGCCTGAGTCCTGCAAATTCACCAAGGCAAAACGGAAGCCCTCTGCCATTTGCAAGTGAAAATGCTGGTAGGAAGTCTTCAAAGGCAGCCCAGCTACAGGAAAATAAAAGAGAAACTATGGCACTTCAGATTCTAGTGAAGTTTTTCAGCACCTGGCCCTTGGAGGAGACAGTGTCAAGACAAGAGGCAGGCTCAGCTTTCGAGGGTGTAGAGGATGGATGTGCCATCCTTGGAGAGAAAGGAAGGCTCTGAGGGACGATTCCCTTTGAGATGCCTTCAGAGCTCAGGTTGAATCTCAGCATCCTCTGGCTCTGCAACCCCACTTGCTGGTTCCCATCCCCACTGCCAGAAAATGCTGAGCCTTTGGATGAGTGCTCTAACCTGAATCAGCTGAGGTTGTGCTTAACCCAGCTCGTTGTGTAATTGCTCTGTGACAAATAGGCTGGATAGGATGGGCACTCGAGCAGAGGTGGACCCAAGCTGCTGGAGCATCAGCCAGCATCCCTGGGTCCAGGTAGGGTGTGGTATCCTACCCTGAAGCTCTGCATCGAGATCTATGCATCACTCCCCTTAGAAGCAGAGAGGGTCCTTTTGTTTGCTCCTCTGTTCTTCCCTGAGCCTCATGAGCTGGCTGCTGTGTTTTGAGAGATGTTAGTAATCCCAGCAGGTGACTCAGAGGGGCAGACTTTTTCCCTGACCTCCCCAGCTATGGGTGGCAAAGCTGGCTCAGCTCTGCATCGCATCTTACTTGAGCAGGGCATCATTTTCTCCTCTGCTTTTGTGCAGCTAACGAGCATGCAGCAGTTAAGGAGACTGCTGTACCTTTTGATATTTTTTAAAAATAAAGATCAAAAAAATAGTATTTTTTTTCTAATGCTCTATCTAACTCTTTGTGATTTAAAACTCATCTTTTCAAGCTGTGTTTTTCTGTCCTGACTGTGAGGTTACAAACTTTTCTTTTGAGGAAATGTGGAAATTGCATTCCCATGACCGTGGGGCTTTAAAAATATTCCTGATGCTGCCAGAGATGTTAAAATTTTACTTTGAGATAAGTTTTTCTACCTACTTCTCAGAAAGAACCCTACCTCTAATAAAGAGAATCGACTCAAATACAGATCCATTACTTCTTTTTGAGAATGATTCAGCATATATTATATAACAGATTCTATATTTTGCACATGGTGTATGCTGACATTCAGCATATATGGTGAATACTGTTATGCTGCATCTGTGTGTTCCCAAAATAACCTCATTTCAGCATGCTTTAAAGTTGTGGCACACGTGCTGAAAACACTTCACGTTAGCAGGATTCTCCTTATATGAATTTTAGCAATTTCCATGTTGTCAGGTCTTACCAGCAAAGCAGCTTTCACTGAATGAGCCAGAATTGGTGGTGGATAGGTCCATGTGCGAAAGTCTCAGAGCAAATGAAGCAATCTTCTGACTTGAGTTACAGCAAGGGATCAATTTGGATCAGGTTCATTTGGGCATCAAGTGTCAGCTTGCTTCCAGTAAATGAGAGATGGTGCATAGGAGGTTCAGTAATAAGGTTTCTCCTGGAAACAAAAGAATCCATGCCTTCCACTTTTGCTGTAATACCACCATGTGCCAGATATGAGGCATCCAGGAAGAGAATCAAAGGCAAAGGCAGGTGGTTTTGTAGCATAAGGTAAGGAATGGTGGCAGAAGCAGGAGCAGGGGGCTACAGGGATGCTGCAGCTCTTGGAACTCACCCTTGTTTTACACGTGTACAGGTATAACCCACCCTGCTGCAGAAGCAGGGAGGGGAATACCTCTGTGGTCATTAAATGATAGAACCCAGATTATTTCTGGGCTTATAGTCTCTTCATTTCTTAAATGCAGACCTGCTCCACTTGGCTTGGTAAGCAGGTTTCGGATCAGCACTCGTGAAGCCAAAAAAGTGCTTTTTTAGTATGAAAACTATCCCTCTTCCAAGCCTTCACGTTCAGTTTAAATTAGGTAGGTATTTGAGCAAAGCCTGCAGTGCTTCTCTATCTGCTTTTTCCATGGACCTCATCCTTAACAGAGACATGAAAACACGAGCGCTTTATCTGTTCCTTTGAGCTGCACCCTTTTAGTGGACATGAAGAAAATAAGACCAGACATAAATGATTAATGCAGAATCTTGGAAGAAAATATTGCAGGGTGCCTTGCTGTTTGATTACAAGCCTTGGAATTAGTCAACATTTCCATAATTCTAAACCAATATACACCTGTTTTCCCACTGTGATGTGAAGGCACAACTTAATTTAACAGAAACCCCGCTGTGCTAAATCTCTCATTAAATACCAAGCTAGTTCTGTAATTTAAAGTTGCAGCACCACTATTTTAACTGAATTGCCTTTGTATTATAAAATTAATAAGAAGTTAATGATGCACTTTGCTGTATTCTGTCAGATTTTTTTTTTCACAGCAACAACAACAAAAAAGAAAGATAAAGAAGAAAAACATGTCACCAGCTGACATCTCAAGGCTTTTCTGTTTTTAATCATTTTCCTGAGGATAAAATTCGTTTAAAAGATTTTTTTTTTTAAATTTTTAAAAACTTTCAGCATAAGTAGGATCAAACACTCTCTTTTTACTCATGATTAGTATAATCTCTCTGTTAGTCATAATATTCCTTGTCATATAATGGAGCTTTTATCTTTCCCCAAAACTGTCTTTAGATATCGCTTATTATGGTAGGATTGCTGCTAGGCAGAGAAGATACAGAGTCTTTGAGAAATACAGGCATATTGATATATATGATACATATCAACAAAATAGGGACAGTTCTCTTCTGTTTACTTGCTGCTGGCATCACAAGCAGCTTTTATGTCTTGTAAATGAACAACATGAATTTCCAGATGTGTCTTTTCAAATATAACATGCAAGCACATAGCTCATATCCTAGCTCATAGGGATGTGGTTTGTATTATTCAGCTTACAGTCAGGTTTTCTTGGAACGTTGGTTTGGATTTTGTTTTGGAAGGCAGAAGGGAGAAGAGGGATAATCTCAATTTGAATGTAATAATGATCTTAGAAGTGCACTTATTTGGAATGAGATGTAGAACTGAGGCCTTAACTAGTCTCATCTTCATTAAGGATCTCATGGCTTTGTTAGAGGTGTTTAACTTCTATTCCCTAAACAAAATAACCCAATAAATTCCACCCATCTAAATTTGTTCTGTACCTTCAGTTAGATGTAATAATCATAGTTCCCCTGTGCTCTAATTTGCTGCTTAGTGAAAATTGGCTTCTGTATAGAGGACAAACCTTGCAGAGCTGTATGCAGGGACTGCTTTAGCCACCTTTGTGGCACTGACAGTTTTTGTTTGGTTTGGTTTTAGCATGCATCATTTTAAAAACTTTTGGGTAGGAATTCTTGGCAAGAGTTAAGGGCAGATAGGTAACACAAGAGCATTATATGTTGGTTGGATTCGTGGAGCTAAATAGCTGATTGAATACACCTTTAATCTCATGAAGAAGCTATTTGAAGTCAGGAATCGATCAGAAACCATTTGTAAAGTCTACACCTAAAACTCTTTGGAGCCTTCTGTATTTGAAGTATGGCAACAATTATTTTGTGCCTATATGTATGTAGGGTGAGGTCATATACACATATATGTGAGGGTGGTGAGACACTGAAACAAGCTGCCCAGAGAAGCTGTGGATGCCCCTCCCTGGAAGTGTTCAAGGCCAGGTTGGATGGGATTTAGACCAACCTGGTCTAGTAGGAGGTGTCCCTGCCCATGGCAGGGGGTTTGAACTAGTTGATCTTTAAGGTCCCCTCCAACCCACACCATTCTACTATTCCATCTTTTTACTTATATCCTCATAGCTAAAGGTTATCACAAAAAATAATTAACAGCCCACACTGATTTGGGCCTCAGCACTGCTATGCTTTTAACAGACTAATGGTTTATGTGGTTCTTATTTCAAGTGGGATATGCATATTCCTAGTAGCAGCAAACCCTTTGTA